TTTATCTTTTCAACTGGGGAAGTTGACGAACATAGTGACTGCCATTCTCTTCATTCACTAAACCAATCTAGCTCTGATACCAATTTGAGGGCCCGGGTTAACCGGAGTTCATCCAGAGTTTCGCCGAAGAAAATATAAACATGGTACGCACACAATATATGGTGGAGGAGAAGAAACTCACCTGGGTATCACTTCAACTCACCTCAAAGTCTTACATGGTAGCCTTTATATAGTCAATACAAAAGACAAAATAATTAGTTTAACACAAAGTTCTAGATGCCTCTTTAATTCTCTAGAGATGTCTTTTAGTTTCCCTAGTACTTAATTAATTTAATACAAATTTCTAGAGTGTCCCTTCATTTGCCCAAAGTAATTAGTTCCTTGCAATTTTCAAGATAGTTTCTTTAACTTCCTTGGTTCTCTTCCCAGGGATGATTTGTTGGAAAAAAAAACTTTTCATATTTCCCATATTTGAATTTATATCCAACAGAGTGATCAATATTTTTATAATATGTTGGGTGAAGCAATTAAAGGAGCCATCAAATAGAGTGATGGTGTTTGTTGACTTTATAAGTTTATGTGCTTTATTGTTGATATTTTGACATCCTTTTTCATTTTTTTGTCAATGAAGATTAATCGTGATAATTCTAATTACGAGAGGGTGCTTGGCTCTGATTGCCCTGGGGTGCCTCCTCAGCGAATAACATGTCTCTCGTGCCATGATAGACACCTAAGTGTCTCTCATGCTCCTCCTCAAATGTTTAGTCTGTTCTCTTAATTAGAGGATTAAGAGCTTCTTCTAACTCTGTTTGTTGGGTGATCGTCAACACGGTCCCATCTTCCGGTACGGTGTATCCATTTTCAACGATGACTCATACACCTTGAGCTTTAAACAAAGCTTTAATTTGAGCATTCCATTGACCAAAGTTTGTCTTTTTCAATTGGGCAAGTTGGCCGAACATAGTGGCTGCCATTCTCTTCGTTCACTACACCAACCTAGCTCTGAAACCAATTTGAGGGCCTAGAATTAACCGGAGTTCGACCGGAGGTTCGCCGAAAAAAATATAAACATGATATACACACACATTATCTGGTGGAGGAGAAGAAACTCACTTGTGTATCACTTCAACTCACGTCAAAGTCTTACATGATGGCCTTTATATAGTCAATACAAAAGACAAAATAATTAATTCAACACAGAGTTCTAGATGTCTCTTTAATTTCCTAGAGATGTCTTTTAATTTCACTAGTACTTAATTAAGTTAATTTAAATTTCTAGGGTGTCCCTTCATTTGCCCAAACTAATTAGTTCCTTGCGATTTTCAAGATATTCTGTTTAACTTCCTTGGTGTCTCTTTCCATGCATAATTTATTGCGCGACTTTTCATATTTCCCATATTTGAATTTATATCGAATAGAGTGATCAATACTTTTATATATGTTGGGTGAAGCAATTAAAGGAGCCATCAAATAGAGTGATGGTGTTTGTTGACTTTACATCTTTATGTGCTTTATTGTTGATAATTTGACGTCCTTTTTCATGTTTTGTCAAGATTGATCGTGATAAGTCTTATTATGAGAGGGTTGCTTGGTTCTGATTGCCCTTGGGCGCCTTCTGACAGATAATGTGCTGTGAAATTCAATGGAATAGCTCAAATACTAGGGATTAAGGAGTATTGAATATCATTCAAAGTGAATATACTCATTCGTTTTGGGAAATATTCGATTGTTTCTAAATTATTAAAATCACAAATCTAAGTCAAAATCATATTTTCTGTGACTTAATTATCTTCCAACTTTCCTTTCTGTTTGTCTCAAAATAATCTTCAATTTCCCTTTTTGGGAAATAACTTATGGTTCAGAGCAATTCTCATATATTGTTGCCCATTTATCTTTTTTCTGTACAATTTTTCACCATACAATACATATTATCTTAGTCCTCGTGTCAAATGTACTTTAAAAGATAATTTAGGAACGAAGTATCATTTCTTGCACAGAATGTGTTGTGAAAAACTAAAACTGAATCAAATCATATTACAACCTTTGGTAGAAATGAATCAAATCATATTTATTCATTCATTGAGTAGTCAATATGGTGTCAATCTTGGACACTGATTGAATCAATAGCACACGTGATAAGAACGGTTTTCAATATAAGAACTTTTTTAAAAATAAAATATCTTTTTTGAAATGCTACACTGAGTATTATCTGAGAAAAGTTTGTAACATTTATTAGTATTAATTAGTCTCTTCAGTTTTTATACCTAACAGAACTAAAACAAACAATCAACTTTTTATTAAGCATCTATCATCTTTTTCATTTAGATCTTTTCAGATATTAAAAGCTAACAGTTACAAAAGACTCATAAAAGTATATTTTCACCTAATTGTACCACACATACCTTATGTTCATCGGTCAAAGCTCAAACCAAAGAATAAGCATTAGCACATTTTTTTATTTGGCACATTAATTTGTGTAACTATAATAAAACAAGCATGGAAATACTTTCTGATGAAATTGATTGAATAAGATAATTCAACTTTTTTCGTATAACTTTTCTTTATTATAATAATAGTGTATTATTTTGTACAAGTTATTTTATAACTTGCGAGCAATTTCAGTTTGTTTTCTTAAAAATATCATTTTAATACTGCATTCTTTTAGAGTATGTACTTATTTCGTCATTGAACTAAATCAGAGATTTAGCCACAAAATCGCCATAGTTTGATCAATTTTAGTGTTTACAAATGTTCTAAATTCAACTAATTGCATCTTTAATAACAAACTATTTGTTCTAGAAAGAATGAAGCTATTTAATACTCGAGTAGTTTATTTTGCCAAAGAAAAAACTCCAATAGTTTGTGTGGACACAAATATGAATAAATTTGATTAGAACGAAAATGTAACCATTTAACTCTTCCGCTACCTTATCTTCTTTCCCTCTTGTAACGTGAACGAACGCGAACGAGCTCTCTGTTTTCTTCTCTCCTCTTCACCGTCCATGCTTCTCACCTTCATCATCGACCATGAGTCCACCACCACCGCGACACCATCGAAGAAAGGAGACCACCGGTGCGACGCCATCGAAGAAGACGGAGATCACCAGTACGACGCCGAAAAAAAAAGCAATGGCGGTGGTCTGCTACGCCGATAGGAGCTTCATCTTCACCTTCATCCATGCTTCTCTTCTCCGTCTCTGTTCAATAGCTTCATATTTGTGATTGATTTCAGATCCGTGATAGCGATTTAGATTTGTGGTCTTCGTTCTGCAGGGAGCGATTCTGGTTGTGACAGGTTGTTGGGCGGTAGCGCAGCGGAGTGGGACTGGGGAGTCGTGGAGGGGAGCTTGCTGGTCGAGCATTTTGACGGAGGTTTTGGGTGCTGGGGTTGGGATTGGGATGTGGGGTTAGGGTCAGGGGTGTTAGGGACCTACCACTGGGGCTAGGGAGAGCCACTGGGATGGATCAAGTCGTGGTGTGGGCTGGGCGGTGTTGTCACTGCAGAGGTGTCACTATGGCCGACGTTGTCGTCGGTGGCCGGTGCAACGGTGACCGACAGTTGAGATGTCACTACAAAGACATCATTGTGGTCAGAGGTTGGGACAGAGTTGTTACTACGAAAATGTCATTGCAAAGGTGACGGTAGTGGCGGTGGTGACAGTGACAGGTAAAGGTGGCAACGACAACGACATCAAACAGAAACATGAAAAATGGGATATATTCGTATTAGGATATGTTTGGCACAACTAGTTGAAAAGATGCTTTCATGAGCTTTTTAATATCTGTTAGCTTTTAGTGACTTAAAAGATCTTAAAAAGAAAAAACAATACCTGTTTGGTAAAAAGCTGACTATTTGATTTAGCTATGTTCGGTATACAAACTGTTAAGACTAATTAATAATAGAAGCTACTAACTTATCTTAGATGCTACTCACTGCACCATCTCAAAAAAGATCTTTTGTTTTTATAAAAGCTCTTAAAAATTAACATGTCAAACATATAACTAGAAGCTTTTAAATACTTTTTAAATAGTACAAAAGTTAGAAGACAGACTTATGTCTACCAAACATAACCTTAGTCATATTTTTGTCAAATTATAAATGTGGTCACACTTTTTTGGAAATCAACTTTAGTTTAATAATATTGAGAGAAAACCCCCTTTGTTCTATACATTGATTTATGAACGTCAGGCGGTCAGGCATTTTCCCGTTGAACTAATAGTATGAATTTTTATAAACAAAATTCGGCCTACTCTTTAGGTAATTGCTTAACCAATCAAATTTACTTTCACAAGTAAAAATACTCTACAATTTATTACCATTTCTTCAAACTCACATCTAAATCCATCATTATAAGCATTAGAGATGGCTCTATAATCATGTAGTTGTATTTGTCTATGATACGAACATTCTTTCACTCAAATAGAAGATTGTTTTACAGAAATAAAAAATTTGAGTTTTGCTAGGAGTACCCCAAAATGTAACCCATTTTTACCCCAACCCCTAATGTGTGGTTATAAATGGGCCAATTCATTTAAGTGTTGCCCCACTTAAATGAATTGCCCCATTTATGGCCACACATTAGGGGGTGGGGTAAAAATGAGGTACATTTTGGGGTACCTTTAGCATTTGTGAAAAAATTTAGGGTGCTACAAACTCTAAACAAAGGCCAATATCTCAATTGTGTTCCAAGGAGAGGACCTAATTTACCTAAATGGCTAAATCCATTAGGGCCAATCCAAACACAAATGTTTTTACATCAAGACACAAAAACATGAAGAAAAATACTGTAGGTGCCCGATTTTGGGGTACACCATTTGTACACCCCCTAGTCCCCTACTTGTGTGGTTCACAAAAGGCAATTCATTAAAGTGACGCAAATGTTTTAATGGTTGGGCTTTTGTAAACCACACAAAAGGTGAGGTACAAATGGGGCACCCCAAAATGGGGTACACCAAGCATAGCTCAAACATGAATAACCACCATGTGCAAGTGTGCAATGTAGTTAAAGCCTTGGTTTTATACCTGCAATATAGTGCATTGACTGACTGCATTCGTAATAAAACTCAACTCCGTGAATTAAATTAAAAAGATACAAATGGCATTACCCATTCTCAAATATCATTACGCCTAGCAGAACTTGTAGTCAAGGAGATCTACCAAAAATGAATAGCATGAAGTTGTAGAATTTAAAGGATGGCTGGAACAAAGCAAAAGAGTTATTACAGAGCTGAAACACAAATTCAAATTAGGATTGGATGTTGGAGGATTTGTTAAGGATAACACCCTCATATTTGACCTGGAACCACTTCATGGCGTCATCCTTGGTGACCCTGTGCTGGATTCCTACCCGAGCCTTGCACCTACGCCGACGTGCCACTCGGTAACCAGGCCGTTCTAGCACAACAAAGAAGTCCATTCCATAAATACCTGTTGATGGATCATACCTGCAAGACAGGATAATCGAAGAAACGATGAGAACCCGTTTATAAAGATGTAAACAAATTCATGATGAGTAACAAATACTCCAATTGATAGGGTGTGTGTGACTAAATCTGGTGAATATCCTGAGGAATTTTAAGGAACATTGCACTCCCTCAGCCGCAGAAATATATATGGGTTTGGCACGAGTTTTAAGAAAATAAATGATAAATGATTGTTTTACCATTCTAGCCTGCAAAAGGCAAGAGGAGTTCACAAAAAATGAAGGGTGACATGATAGTACAGGGATAATATAAGGAATGTAAAAAGTGAGCAGAGTTCAATTTAGAAAAATGTTCATTTTTATGGTATAACTCAAAAAGGAGAGTTTATCTTACACAATGGGAGCATTTCATCTAAACAAGTTATACTGAGATTACCAACTAAGGTCACCAAACAGAATCGTGATTTAAAATAACACAAGTAAATATTCCGCTCATGAAGTCCCCCTCTCTCAACCCTACACGAAATTTTGGTCCCGAAGAAAAATGCTGTTCTTTTTTGTAATGTGAAATTATAAGCAAAAAACATGTAGAAGCCACGCAGCATTCAGTTCTAGTCCAAACAAAATTGGACAAATGTCATAGATGTATAACAGCAAGCCTTTTAATAATCATGTCAATAAAAAAAATCAGGTGTAGCATATTTACCATCATATTTAGGACCAAATGAGTATTAGAGGCATGGCAGGATTCAAAACACACTATTTAAAAAGAGAGATGCAGATGTCTTACTTAATCCCAAGATCAATGTGTTCCTGGATACCGAAACCAAAGCACCCAGTGTCACTGAAGTTCCTCCTTAGCAATTCATATTCCTTGACTTTCAATCCACTCTCAAGAAGCTGCATTGCCTTGTCACCTCTGACTGTGACATAGCATGCGATCTTTTCATTACGTCTGATGCCAAAGGACCTCACAGTATATCTTGCTGTCAATGAGAACCATACTCGGAATTAATTTAGGACAATAAGAGATTTGATAAAACAAATGGGAACTCTACAATGAAGTCACTTCACTGAGAGTGTTTGCATTTGCTTGTGCTTGTGGGGTAATTTCTTTTGGAGATCATGGAGAGAGCGCTTAGCAGTAAAATGGTAGAAGTTATGTACTTATGTGTTCGGTTTAAAAAACAATTTGGTGTATTAATTACGTACAATTAAATATTCTCTGTCCCACTTGAACATTCCCACATGGTTTAAAACGTTTGACTGACTATAAAGTTAACTAATTCCCTGTCATTAGTAGAATTATTTTTCATAAATAAAATTTACAATTCAGAAACTACATTAAAACCGCTACAATTCAAGAAAATTTAAACTTAATAAAAGTTGGATAAATAGAGTAAAAGATTAAAACAATGCACCTGGAACGGAAAATATTGGACATGAACCTTTAATGTTTAAATGGGACAGAGGGAATAGCAGAATTGAAAGAAGTTTGTGGCACTATCCTGCTTACAGATTTTAGCTCTAAAGCGCTTAAAGTTAGGCAGAAGATGCAACTTGAAACACTACTTATATCTATTTATTAACTTCAAACAGCACAATGCTTTAGATGAGCCAAATAACCAAATGTGGACTTGAATTGAAATTCATTCCAAGTTTCCAACAAAATACTTCTACGGACTTCAGTAAACAGACAACAACCCCATTTAAAAAAACAGAAATTCTTGCAATAACGATTGGTTCTTCGATAACACTAGCAAATTAACAGGACCAATAGCATGATTGAAATATTAAAATATGGCATCAGGAAAATATTCATCTTGTCTTAGAGAAAAAGCTAACACAATGATACGGATAACACAGAAAATAAGCTGAATCTGTCGATTATCCGTAACGTTAAGAAAAATATCAAACTTCAAGATAAAAAGAAACAAAACACTAAAAAGCATTTACCTTTGGAGAAAACAGGTGTCTGGCCACTGAGTTGCTCCAAGACCTTAAAATAAAGCCGAAAGTTAGTTCAAATTTACAGAAACGGGATGAAGAGCAGAAGCGCCGTGGAGTACCTTAGCTGCTCTGGTGAGACGATCTCCACTCTCACCGACTGAAATGTTGAGGACGAGCTTTTGGACCTTGATCTCTCTCATTGGGTTGCTCAATTTCTTTTCTGATGCCTGAATTCATACATATAATTAGATGAGAAACAACGAATGGGGAGATTTATTCTTCAAAAATCTGAATGGAAACGTAGAGTAAGGTGTCGAGAAGACCATTGCTCCCTCCGATTTTGCCGCCGCTCCTGGGGATTGCGATGCAGCTGTGAGTGAAGGGAGAAGAACAATGGTATTATGTAAAGGTAGGGTTGGCTTCGATCATTGTTTGGTTGACCCGGGAACTGCTACTAACCCTAGTCCGCTAGGTAAAAGGGCTGGATACTGGGCTGGTGCTGGGATTGTTTTTGACGCAAACTGGGCTTCGATGGAGCTTTTGGGCCAGTAGATCTGGTCTTGGCTGCTGATGCGGAAGGGTGGAGACTCCTTCATTGGACTTGAAGCCTGAGTCCTTGGATCTTCTTTTGTTGGGCTATTGCTACGGATAAGACTTCATTGGCCTATAACTAGTTTGGATTTTATTTGTTTTGATATATGAGCCGGAGATGTCCCGTGCCATATTTTGGACTATTTAGGGCACTAAGTCAGGACCTGTCTCGTGCTAATTTTGATGTTTTGCTTGACCATTTTGAAATCTCTCTCCTTCCCCTTACCTAGGCATGGACCGGGTCTGGGTCGGGCTCTGGGCCGGTTCATAGCGGACTTTTTTTTCAAAAATTTGGGCCCGGAACCGGCCCGGATTGATACTGGATCCGGTTTGGGTCGGGCCTATCGGGTCGGGTAGCGGGTCGGTTCGGGTCGGGCCGGGCTATTTTTTTGTTTAAATATTAAGTTAACATTAGTTGGACATAAAAAAGTTAAAATGTATTTATTTGAAATATATGGTACAACTGAAAATTGAGAAAAAATTAAAACATGAAATACACTTTTTAATAAATAAGAATCAATCGGAATCTCTGCCATCTTCGGTTGTTTCCTCCATAAAGTGGCGGGTGGGTTCGATGTTCAGTTCTTGAGTTCTACGTTGGGCCTTCAACCAATCGTGGAAGAAAACAAGCGTCTCAAGAGAGTTTGCGTTTAATCTTGTTCTATAGTCCGTTAGCACGTTGCCGGCTGCACTAAACACTTGCTTAGACATCTTTGATAAAATCGGGAATGTTCTTTCTTTTTCCTTCCACCATTGAAGAACGTCAAAGTCATCCCCTTCTTCATACTCAACAGGAAATGTTAGATACAAAGAAAGCTCGTTAATCGAGCTTTGTTCATTAACCGGAGTTGATTTACTTTTTTTCATAAGATTGCCAAATGCAGATTTCAAAATTGATTTTCTTTTAGATGAAGAAGATGTTCGTGACGGGGGAGGGGTGCGCTACCATATTGTGCATGAAACTCATTAAATACGGAGTAATTGATAAAATAAATTACCAACCTCTTTGAATTCTTGTTTAGGGTCTATGTCCTTTTCGTCGTACATAGGCAATGGACCAAAAAAGAAGCATAATAGTAATCTAAACATTTCCCCAAATAATCAAGTCTAAAACGAGGATCAAGAATAAATGTAATACCATATATATGCGGAATATGTGAATAATATTTTAAAAACTTTTCTTTCATTAATTCACAAAAATAACTAACATAAGTGGCATCGGAAAATTCACAAGAAGCGCCGACAAGATTAACAACTTCAACAAAAAATTGGTTTGCAGTAGATTTATAAACATGACTAAAGGTTTGAGTTGCATTATTAAAAAACACCAAAACATTCACAATTTTTTCACAAATGTCGATGTCGGTCAGGTTTATAATATAGTTGGCATATTCTCTTAAAAAATAAGGAAAATGGTTTTGAAATCTAATAAGCACCTTAATTAAGTTATAAGTACTATTCCAACGAATAGACAAATCTTTAGGAAAAACACAATATTTGACACGTCATTCATTCAAATAATTTTTCCATTGCATCTTAAGTTGATTACTAGCCCAAATAAGTTTAATCCCCCATTCACCACCTCCATAGCATCTCCCAACGCCGCTCTAGCCCGTCTTTTACATATATAAATTTAAAACATAACATGCACAACGTTGATGAAAAAACATACCCATCAAAGAAGATGAACCACACAATTCACGCAATCTACGAATAGCAGCAGTATTATTACTATCATTATCAAAACCAATAGCAAACACCTTATTAATCAAATTATACTCAATTAAAATACGCTCAATGAGAATATAAATATTATCATCAGTGTGTCGATCATTAAATTCACGATAATGTGCAGTCACACCCAAATAATATAAATGATGATAATTAGCCTCCCATATATCACTACATATACTAACACATCCATCAAAGTTTGCAAAAAACATTTTTAATTATTGCTTTTCCAAAACATATTGCCTTATAACTTCTTTTTTAATTGTTTTGCGACTATAGTTTCAAAATTGAGGATTTAAAGTACCTTGATCATATTTCTTTAAAGCAAGACTTTCGGAAAAAATAAAAGGCAAATTTTCTTCAACAATTAAATGAGACATACCGAAGGGTTGGCCAGTTCCAAACCCTGAAATTTGTGTTTGCTTTCCCTTGCCTTTATGCGATTTCGCATACGCCGACGGGTGCTTGGCCTTAAGATGCCTTGCGGCGCTCCCGAACCCTCCAGAATTTCCCAAGTTATACACTTTTGGGCAATGCTTGCAAGCGGCGTACCATATCTCGGTTTTGAGGTCTTTGGTCTTTGTAAAATTGGTCTTAAAGGCAGATTTAACTTTGTCACCGCCTTGGGAAGAAGTAGCCTCTTCCGCTTGCTCTTCCTTATCGTCCGGTGTGCCGTGAACCTCGTCCTCGACCGTTTGTGGATCCCCTTCCTCCGCATCATCATCCGCGCCCTTGATGTTGTTGCAATAGTTGTGCTAGTTGCTCATCAGACATCACATCTCCATCTCCCCGGTTGTAATCCGCATCAAAATCATCTCGGGTTTGAGACGAAGACTCAGTCCGTCCCTTACCTTTGCGTGAGCTTGGATGATTCCTCGCAATCTCCGTTCTTCAGTTGGGGTGGAGGTTACCCATATCTACAGAAGCTCTACCACGTTCTATCTTTAAAATATAACAAATGATGGAGTATATGGGTCTGGGCCCCAGGACCCACATACTCGGAAGAACAGAGCACAAGACAGTAGAGTGGCGCCCTCGTCGGCCGAGACGCCCCCGTCGGCCGAAAAGGGGCCAACTCGGGTTACGGTCCTGAGCCCAAGGAACCCGGGTGCCCTCGTCGGCCGTGCTCTCGTCGGCCGTGCCCTTGTCGGCCACGCCCTCGTCGGCCACGAAGACCTCCCAGAATCGGATTCTATACTTACTCATTTGTACAGCCCATTAGAGGCTTTGTATTCGGCCCAGTAGCGGTCCAGTTGTAAATGGGCCTCCCAAGCCCAAGGCTTGGGAGCCCAACCCTAATTTTCTCTATAAATACTCCCCTTGGGAGTAGTTATAGGGGTTACAAAATCATTCTATTGAAGCATATTATTGCACTTCTCTCTCTAGCTCTCACCTCTCTCTAGAATCTAGGAGATATACTCTATCATTTGGTGCTCTCGTTGAGAGCTAGAACAATCAAGTTAGCACCCTTCGTCGCTACCAAGCACAGCTAACCACTGATCATGGGGAGAACTAAGTCAAACCGCAACCTCGTCAGCAAAGTCATCCCTGAGGACCAAGAGCCCAGGGAGCACGATGAGGACGCCACGGCCGACCAGGTCGGCGGAGGGGACCTCTTCCAGGAGGCCTTCAACCTCACGACGGACCTCCGCAACCAACTCAACGGCGGAGTCCCCGACGCCCGCCTCGGCCTGGAAAAGAAACGAGCTGAGAAAGCGGACCACTCCCCGGCCCAGCCTATGGCCGCGACCTCTCCGTCCGTAGATCCTCAGGTCCAGGCCGCACTATCGGCTATCATCGCCAGATTGGCTCAGAATCCCACCGTCCTCAGCACACTCTTGCCAAGGACCGGGGGAAACGTCACTCCACCTCCTCATCCCCAACCGTTGGCCGTCCAGATAGGCAACAATGAGGGGGTTGTGGCCCAGGACACGGCGTCGTCCCACTCCCACCCTGTTTCCCCTCTTCGGCCCGGGCAGACCCCAGCGCGTGGAAAAGCCTCTGCCTTCAATAGGCTAGGTGACACGCGCCGTCGTCCGGTTTCGGAGAGGATGGCGGGACGGATTGGTGATCCTCGTCCTGGCTCGCCGAGGGAGAGTTTGGGGTCTGTGTCCCGGACAGCGGACCAGCCCCGCCCGGACAAGGGCAAGGGGAAGTTGCACGAGGAGGACGTGCGTCACCAGATCAACGCGGCTCACAACGAGCGCCTCAGGAACCAGCCGGGTGCCGCCGCGGCCGACAGGGACCCCCGGGACGAGGTCATCGCCCAGCTGGAAAGGAGGTTGGCTCAGATGGAGGCCAAGCAGTCGGCCAACATCCCTACGGTCGGCGCCTCCAACGACCCCGGCCTCAACGCGCTCATGAACAAAGTCAGCGCCCTGGAGAGGGAGCTGGCCGAGGGGCGGGGTGACCCCATCATCCAGGTCAGGACTAGGACCCCTTTCACCAACAGGGTCCTCTCGGCCCCCATCCCTGAGAAGTACAGGGGGAACGCCATCAAGTCCTACGATGGCCGATCAGACCCCCAGGAGCACTTCAACCGCTATCAAAACAACATGCTGATGGTGAACGCGTCCGACGAATACCTCTGCCGTTGGTTCCTCTCTACTCTCGAGGGGCCAGCGTACGAGTGGTTCAACGGACTGCCAGAGGGAAGCATTGACTCATGGCAAGATCTCGCCCAGCGCTTCCTCACTCACTTTGCCGGGAGGAAGCGCGCCAAGAAGTATTTCACCCACCTCCTCTCCGTCAAACAGCAGCACGAGGAGTCCCTCCGGGCATTCATCGACCGGTGGACGAGGGAGACCGAGGAGGTCGAGGGGGCCGATGAGCGCACCCTCCTCGCCTTGTACCAGGGAGCCCTCCGCAGCTCCCCGTACGCCAGGAGCCTCATCACTGACCCCCCGAGGTCGTACGCCAGGGCGCTCCAACGCGGAGGCTTGTATGCCGACGCCGACGAGCTCCACAATCACAAGAGAGAGGGGGGCCATCCCCCCAAGAAGACAAATCCTTCGCCGGCCTCGGGTCAGTCCCCAGCCGGCCAGGGTGCCCAGGGCCGCCACGGCTCTGGTGGACAAAGTAAGAAAGACCGCCACTGGCGGCCGAGGCTGGAACGGCCGGGGGTAGCCCTCACCCACCCGGTCGGCACCATCCTCGATTATGCCGAGAAGCACGGCCTCATCGAGCAGGCTCCTCGGCCGGCCGAGGAGATCCTGGCCATCCAGCAGGGCGGCACGTACTGCCGGT